CCTGCACCCTTGGGACCTGACTGGTGTCCAACAACAGAATTTGCTGGACTACAGGAGGTTAATACTATCTAGCAGTGTTACCAACACTTGCACTGCTTGCTAAGCTCTTAGAAGACATGTAGGGGTAAATTAGAGCTAAATAACAGCACAGAACACTGGGAGCCAGGAATGGTGGTTGTAAACCAACTTTATGGCACTCCAGGAAACTTGATTACACTCATGAAAAGTGGCCATCTGGCTAACTAAAATCAAGCTGAACCATAAGTGTTGCTGGACTAGAGAGGTTCAACCTGTTCCAACCCATTCATTTACACAAATAGTGTTAGAATACTTTTTTATGTTATTTTCTTATCCTAACAGTCCCTTCCATTGTAGGCTTTTCTCTGTGTTATATTATCTGTTTCCTTAAGGTATGATGTATAAATACCAGTCTGTTCCCTTTTCTGACTGGTGCATCTCACAATTACATCAGTGGCTCAGACTTCAGTGACAACTGCTGCCAGAAGCTTTTGATGTAAACTAATGCTAGGATGTGAAAATGGTACTGTTTCTGATGCAGCTTAGAGGTGACATCATACACTTCCCATTGTTGCATGATCTGATACTCTACTCTGGACTTTTTAATTATTACTGATAAAAGATCTAATCACACTAATCACACAAACCATACTCAATTTGAATAATCATTAGTATCACTGAAGATTACTAATGAGGTTTTGCGGATTTGGCCTTAAATTAATAATGTCCCTATCTGATAGCTGTTCTTTTCACTTTGATAAAACCATAAACTAACTTTTGTAACCTAATGCACAAACTCTTACACTCATTAATAGCCACCACATATGGAATAGTGCTATTAAGTTCAATTATATAGCTTGTATGATTAAGAGCAGGATTGTTAAAAAATCTCCAGAGCCAACAGCTCCCAAAAAGGCACCTAAACGTTGAATTTTTCAGCACCCACTGGGAGAGGCTTCTTCCTAGAGGTGCCTAAATGGGAGCTGAGCTTTTTTTTTCAATTTTGCCCCAGGGTTTGTATGACTGGCTCTGTATAGCAAAATGCAGGACAACGTAGCACTTTAAAGACTAACAAGATGGTTTATTAGATGATGAGCTTTCATGGGCCAGACCCACTTCCTCAGATCAAATAGTGGAAGAAAATAGTCACAACCATATATACCAAAGGATACAATTAAAAAAATGAACACATATGAAAAGGACAAATCACATTTCAGAACAGGAGGGGGATGCAGGGGGGGGGGGAGGAAGGAAGGTAAGTGTCTGTGAATTGATGATATTAGAGGTGGGGAGAGTGGGATGTCTGTCAGCTAATGGTATTAGAGATGATAATTGGGGAAGCTATCTTGGTAATGGGTAAGATAGTTTGAGTGTTTGTTCATTCCTTCATTGTGAGTGTCGAATTTTAACATGAATGACAGTTCAGAGGATTCCCTTTCAAGTGCAGATGTAAAAGGTCTTTGTAGCAGAATGCAGGTGGTTAAGTCATTGAGAGAGTGTCCTTTCTGGTTAAAATGGCAAGAAACTGTTTTCTCTTTGTGATCTTGTCTGATATCTGTTTTGTGGGCATTAATCCTTTGGCGAAGTGTCTGAGATGTTTGTCCAATGTACATAGCAGACGGACACTTTCAGCACATGATAGCATAGATTATATTTCTGGATGCGCAGGAATATGTGTGCTTGATCTTATAACTCACTTGGTTAGGTCCAATAATGGTATCAGCAGAATGAATATGTGGACAAAGCTGGCAACGGGGTTTGTTGCAAGGGAAGGTACCAGGGTTGGTATTAGTGTGGTATGTCCTGTGGTGGTTGGTAAGAATCATCTTGAGGTTAGGTGGTTGTCTATAGGAGACTATGGGTCTGTCTCCCAGAGCCTCTTTGAGTATGGTATCCTGTTCCAATATAGCCCCGCCCCCGGGCGGGCAAGTGTCACAGCCCCCAGGCGCCCGGAGGGCGAACAGCCACGCCCCCTGGCGCCCGCCAACCTGAAAAGGTTGGGGACCACTGGCATAGATTATATTTCTGGATGCGCAGGAATATGTGTTCTTGATCTTATAACTCACTTGGTTAGGTCCAATAATGGTATCAGCAGAATGAATATGTGGACAAAGCTGGCAACGGGGCTATTTTCTTCCACTATTTGATCTGAGGAAGTGGGTCTGGCCCACGAAAGCTCATCATCTAATAAACCATCTTATTAGTCTTTAAAGTGCTACATTGTCCTGCATTTTGCTTCAGCTACCCCAGACTAACATGGCTACATTTCTATGGCTCTTTATAGTCTGTTTGATGTGTTAATTGTGCTTTGAGCTGCAAAGTTTTACAGTACAGACTAAAGGGAAGCTTATATTTGAATTAAAATATTCTAGTGGGAGACTTTTAGTTTAGCCTTGTTGCCAAATAAAGATCATTGGGTTTTGAATGGTTCTTATTTCCAAGGCATAAGAGTGTCACATTTCTAAAAGCTGTTTCTTCCTGATGGATGGTCTGTAGCCATTTTACTTTGCCTCACTTTTTGTTGCATTTTTATGGCAGGCTTGTTAACAAGTTTCAATTTATGACCTAGACATTTGCCTATTCTTCTTTCGAAAGTCTTTATAAATCAGCAAAACATTTTGTCGCAGTTGTTATAAATAAAGCAGTCTGAGAATAAGTCATTGAAATGGACAGAAGCAATTTTCTTTTTCTCTTTCCATGAGTACAGTATTGTTGACTGGTCCAGAAGCCATAGGAAGATAGTGAAGCATTAGCTAAGCAGAGCAAATTTAGCCATATCTGCATTCAACAATTAACAGTATGCTCAAAATGCCTATGGGTTCTTAATTTCAAAAGGAAGATTTTAATATTACTGACTTCAGAGGAAGATAAGTGAGGCAATGTACAAGACATTATCAGTCCAGTGTGGAAATAATGCATTCAAAATTAAAGACAGCAGTTTAATTAAGTGCATGAAAGCCTGACTTTTATGATCATATTTCAAATACTCAAATGTCTTTTCATCCATATGACTTTACTTAATAATATATCAAGAACAAAAATGTATTGGAACATTTCTGCAAATTCAATTAGTCCAATAAAAAGTGAAAAATAATTTATTTTTTATGAAAAAGAACTCAACCCTAACCCCTTGTCATGACAAAAGAGTGAGAGGGGGGAAAAAAACTAAGAAACTATGAAAATTCTGGCTTTGTTATGTGTGTATGTATCTGAAACTGATGAAGTGTCACTATTGGTAACATTTGTCATTATAACGACTAATCACATTATGCTGCAGTTAGAATTCTGTCAAACCCAACCCATAGGGTGAATACTTTCTTCCTTAGAATTCAGTGTCAAAGTGTATCAGTGATTCCCAAGTTGATTGGGCTATTGTATACAGATTAATTATACATTAGAGTACTACTTTTCCTTCCAAAACTGCACTAGCAGTTCAGAAGCTAAATATACCCTCCTGCTTCCTTTTCATTTCCAGAGGGTTCTGAGATGAATGGAGTTTAGGAATCTCTGCTTTTTGGTACTAAAAGGATGGCAGATCTTTGATATAAGTAAGAAAACCTGGATCTCAAGAAATGTTTCACTGAGTTTGAAATTAGTTTGAAGTATAACAGTCTATGAAAGAAGAGATGTACTTTAAAAACACACACACACACACCTTTGCGACCAGCTCTCATAGGCTACGTCTACACTGAAAGGTTTTTGCGCAAGAAGTCTTTTGCAGACTTGTGCAAAAACTTCTTGCGCAAAAGTACGTCCACACCTCAAAGCATGGTCGCTCTTGCGCAACAAAGCTCTGATGGCCCTTCACAGAAAGGCCATCAGAGCACCTGTGGTTTTTCGGATAGGCTGTTTCTGCGCAAGAAATGCATGAGGAGCGTTCACATAGGCCTTTTTGCACAAGAGCTGTAGCGCAAAAAGGAGTTATGCCTCATAGAAGGAGGTATATCTACATCGCAAAAAGCCCTCTGTTCTCTCGATTGACTGTAGATTTTCTTGCGCAAAAACGCACTTAAGGCGTGGAGGCTCTGTGGATTTTTGCACAAAAACAGATTTTTTTGTGCAAAAACCTTGTAGTGTAGACATAGCCATAGAGAACTGGATGGCAAAGGGGTTGGTATGGAGATACTGAATGGTTCTATCATGATAGCTCTAGCACATCAGTCACAGAACAGAGGCGAACAGAGGTACATTCACCCAAACTCTCTAAATCTGTCAGATTTATTCTCCTCTAAATTAACTAACGTCATCCAGTAAGGAGGTTACCGTCTTGGCCATTGCCCTACTGTGTGACCTTGGGCAGATTACTTCTCTATTGCCCCTCTCACATTTTCATTGTCCTGTTTATTTAGATTCAAAACTCTTAGGGGAGGGACTCTCTCGTGCTGTGTGTTGGTATACAACAAGTTGCTTCCTGGACTCTAATGTAATTTTAACCCCATCATATGTTACAGAGTTGCCCTGCACAAAGTTTTGCTTACAATATCTCCCCTTATGGACAGAATCCTACTTACTGGATTTGGAAAATTTGAAAATCAAACTTTGTGAAAGTAATCCCTGAGTTTTAAAAAATGGGAAAAGTGGCCATACAATGGTCAGCAGTAAGCAGGGCCACTGTCCTGGAGGGAAAATGGGCAGCTGACCTGGGGCCTGCAGTGGCCAGGAGCCTTGGGCCCTTGAAATTGCCGCCAAAAACCTAGCAGCACATGCCCTACAGATCCAACCACACTGAACGACTGACTGAAGGACTGAAGGATTGGCTGGGGGAGGCTCCCCCAGCCCCACCCTTCTGCCTATGGCCACGCCCCTTTCTAGGGACCTGCAGACTGCTCTCCTCAGGGCCCAGCAAAGTTTCTCTCGGCCCTACCAGTGGGCATTATGTCATGATGCTGATCTCCATTTGTGAGCATCCAGGTGTGCCTAGTAGGGATTAGCATGAATCATGAAAGCTCACACTTATAAATGCTCACTTATTTGTCATGTAGGCAACCCTCCTGCAACAGGCACGGGAACTTTACGGATAACTCTCGAAGACGTCAATGACAATGCCCCTGACATTTATCCAACGTTGGCAAAAGTCTGTGATGACACAAAAGATCTCAGGGTGGTGGTCTTGGGGGCATCAGACAAGGACCTTCACCCTAACACGGATCCATTCAAATTTGAGCTGAGTAAACAGTCTGGCCCAGACAAAGTGTGGAAAATCACCAAGATCAACAGTAAGTGTTTTCATTCATTTTTCTTAGACTTTCATTCTTTCAGTCTGTCCCTCCCTCCCTACCTGTCCTTCTGACCCTTTTTACTATAAGTGCTATCTGCAATCAAGCAGAAAAATCATGTGATCTTTCATGTACTCTGACGATCAGAACAGATCACTTTTGAGTAGATTGTTCCATAAGGCCTAATCCAAAGGCCATTGAACTGAATGAGAATCTGCAGTGGCCTTTGGAACAGTCTCTTAATACACCCTCTACGCCATTCCTTTGTCATCCTGCCCCTCCTCACCTTGGTGTGTAGCATTTAGAGCTCAATTACCTTGGGACCAATACACCATAAGAGGTTTCAGCAGACTCCCCTGTACACCAGTGGGCAACTCCATTGGCCACCAATTAGGATCCACAGAGCAATGCACTCCCAGGCCCATCAACTGTGAGGGGTTAGGTGGGAGCAAAGGGGGCAATTGCCCAGGGCCCAGCAATTCAAAGGGATCCAGAGCTCCCAGCTGCCACCACTGCTACTGCAGCAGCAGCCAAAGCCCTTTAAATTGCTGTTGGAGCACCACAACGCACGCTCCACGTGGCTCTAAGGGCTGAAGAGAGCCAGCGTCGTGCTGTAGGTGGCGCTGAAGGCTGACCACCCCTGTCCCCCCCCCTGCCTTCTGTTGTAAGCTCCTCCCCATCTGGGAGCACAGACCCACTCTCTACCTTGCCCAGGAGCCCATGGAGGCTGTTGGCACCCCAGCCTACTCCCTACTTCCCCATTACTCTTTTTTAACAAATCCATGAAGCGGGGTGACAAGGTTCCCCCTCCCCACTTCTCCCGGACACCCCCATGGGCTCTTCTGAGCTTCTAGGCTATTAGTTTAGCTGGGGTTGCCAATTTCTCTTGAGTATCCCTGGCGATTTAATTACAGGACATAATCATTTATTAAAGGTTAATACTGGAGACTTCAGACCAACCCTGAAGGGTTGGCAACCCTAATTTTAGGCAGGAGGCCTTTTTGGTTACAGACCAGCTGCTCCACTGAGCCCTTCTCTGGCCTGTCTGAATGTAGCTCAGCAGATGTTAGGCTTTGTGCCCCTATTTTTTCTGGGCAAAACCCCACAGTCCTCCTACTTTTACACTAAGTCTCAGCTTTAGCTCCAAGAAATGCCAATTGGTTTGAGTGCATGTTGTTCTGCCCCTTAGAAGCCTGCAGCCAGTGATTAATACAGCAGGAGCAAAGCACAACAAAAGAAAACAAGGATTTTAAAAACCCTGAGGCCTACCTGTCTGTCTACCATTCCCAAGGCTTCCTGTTGCCCAGAAAGTAGACCTAGCTACAGGTTGGCTGTGTCTGTCTGTTCTCCACAAACAGCTCCTTGGCTACTACCTTTTGCTGCCCTTGTCAACTACTGGCTCCCAGCACTGGCAAGAAAGACCCAGACGTTGGCAGGAGCCTGGAAGCAACATCATCACAACCAATAGTTCAATCGTTGTCTCTTTGTGCTTGTTGATGTGTTTATTAGAAGGTTGCTTCTCTGGAATCAGTGTGTGGTCTTTGTGCCTGTTTCCTGCTATTAAACAAAACCAGCCTATGCTTATTGCAAACATCCCAATGCCTCATAATAGCCATACAGTAACTGTGTCCCAAACCAGGTGTGGATAAATTACAACAGCCCCACATCTGTCTTCTTCTCTCCCCCCTTCCCTTTGGGTCTACCACAATATAGCCTTTAACTGGCATGTTTGTTTCCATTGGAATTTGCAAGTTGACTGGCTTCTGCAGGACAAAAAATAGTTTTCATGAAGCATACTCTTGAAAAATCCATGTTTTGATGGGGCTACAGAAGGAACTAGGGGAATGTACAGTCCGTGCCTAAGAGTAAGGAATCCTATGACTGAGTTTTTGAATGAATGCCAGTTCCTAATCAATTCTGTACAGGCTCGGCAGCACTCCGTTTGCATTTGTAGAATTTTGACTGATCATATCAGTGCTTAATTTTAAGCACTTTCTTTTTTACGCCTGAGGGAATTCTATGCCACTGCACATGTGCAAAAAACATGTCTCTGTTAATGGGGTTAGCACTCACCTCACATGAGTGCCCCTGTTTGACCGAGTGGGGGTTCCTGCATAGCTTCAGTTTTAAAAGCCTTGCAGCTATTTGGCCCTCTGCCCGAGTCACACACTGTGCCATCACAAACCCTTTCTGGGGTCCACCTTTAACAGAGACCCATCCCAGTGCCCTCTGTAAAGCATCTATGAGTCCAGTCCAGTCTCTCAGACTGTTTCCCCGCTCAGTATGAGAGTGATGCCTCCAGGGCTTCTCCTCCTGGAAACTATGTTCTAACAGCTCCCCACTCTGAGCTGTCTTCAGTTCTGCTAGACAGCCACCCTGACCTCTCTTCCAGGTCTGGGCTGCAACTGAGCTGCCTCTAGTCCTGTGACTTCTTATATTCTCCCTCCTGGTCCTTGATTGGCTGGTTTCTTCCTAGCCATTCTAGCCATCTGGAGGACTTCTTTATGGCCCCTTTGGCCTCAGGGCCTAGCCCCATTACAATCTCCCACAAATTTCTTTGCTTTTCTGAAGTAAGTGATGGGGAAGCAAATGGGAGCTATGTGGTGGGTGGGAAGATGCCCATCGACTCAGTTTGCAGGGATTGCTCCCCCCAAACAGAAGCCAAGTAGAGGGCACATGGGCTGTATCTAGACTGGCCAGTTTTTCCGGAAAATAAGCCGCTTTTCTGGAAAAACTTGCCAGCTGTCTACACTGGTCGCTTGAATTTCCGCAAAAGCACTGACTTCCTACTGTAAGAAATCTGTGCTTCTTGCAGAAATACTATTCTGCTTCCGTTCCGGCAAAAGTCCCTTTTGCGCAAAACTTTAGCGCAAAAGGGCCAGTGTAGACAGCTCAGATTTGTTTTCCGCAAAAAAACCCTGATCACGAAAATGGCAATCAGGGCTTTTTTGCGGAAAAGCACATCTAGATTGGCACGGACGCTTTTCCGCAAAAAGTGCTTTTGCGGAAAAGCGTCCGTGCCGATCTAGATGCTCTGTTCCGAAAATGCTTTTAACGGAAAACTTTTATGTTAAAAGCATTTCTGGAAAATCAATCTAGATGCAGCCGTGGGGTCCTGTATCACTGCCCACTCCATCCCTGCATGTGGAGAGCTGCTTGGCTGAAGAGTGTATGACTCATCCAGTTGTCACTGACTCTATGGTTGGACCCTGCCTCCAGGGTTCTAGTGCTGGCTGTGGTCCCTTTTTGCATACTGGAAGCCACCCTGTGTCGTGTACAACAGTGAGTGCCCATGGAAGGGCAGGCCAAGGAGGGCATGAGAACTGAAGGGAAGAGGGAGTGGGTATGAAGAAGGATGGGATATGGGAGTGAGGGAAGGTGGATAGGGCGAGAGAGGAAGGGGTCAGTGAATGGGGAAGAGAAGACGACAGAGGAATCGGGGTTGAGAAAGCAGGAGCCCAGCACTTGGCATCCCCTTGGCTGTAGCTGCAGCTCCCCCCTTAAAAGGGCCCATTGAACCCTACCCCAGTAAGCCTCACTCCCCTGCACCTGACCTGCCGTGATGAGCCCTCTGCATCCGGGCCCCCCCACCAGTGTTCCCTGTGTTAGCTGTGTGCCTGGGTAGCCACTCAGGAAGGATTTCAATGCTGCCCAGCTGATTAGCAGTGCACCCATGGCTAGTTTTCGTGTTTCTATTGGTGGTGCACATTTGCACATGCCTCAGTGCACACAAAGAATTATTCCACATGTGGATGGAAAAGATTAGAGTGATTGGCCCCCACTCTAGTGAGCCCCAACCTGCTGTGCCTGGACTGTTACTGCATGGAGCCCTATGCCTCCAGGGCACAGGACCTTCTGCTAAGACCCCCACATCCAGCCCCCCCTCCCGCTGAGCCCCAACCATCTTCATCTGGACCCCTCCCCAAAGAGTCCCAGTGCCCATGTCCCCAGAACCCCAAAATGAACACCTGTGCTGCCACATT